CAGGGGGCAGCTCCTGCATTGAGTGTCTGCCCCCTGGTGGTCAGTACATGTAGTGACTGATATTCCACCATTTGGTCGATTTGCATAGTAGGGTTTTATATAGGATGCCTTTGTTCCTGCAGGGTCTTGCCCTATGTGAATAATAGACACACTATAAACATCTGTTGAATACTTGGTGGTGCTTATCAAGTTGCCACCTCTTTTCTATGTTAAACATTCCTACATTTTAAAATATTTATGTTATATTCTTCATCCCTTAATTGTTTTTTTATTGTCTTCTCAAACTTTCCTAGTATCTCTTCCTTTATTTTAAAATGTTCGTGATTAGCCGAAACTGGTTTGGCTCAGTGGTAGAGCGTCGGTCTGCAGACTGAAAAGTCCCAGGTTCGATTCCGGTCAGGGGCATGTACATTGGTTGCAGGCACATCCCCGATGGGGGGCGTGCAGGAGGCGGCTGGTTGATGTTTCTCTCTCATCAATGTTTCTAGCTCTCTATCTTTCTCCCTTCCTCTCTGTAAAAAAATCAATAAAATATATTTTTTAAAAATGTTCGTGATTAAAGTTTCATATTCAAATTAAGATTTATAACCAATATAGGCTAGACAATTTCTTATGCATAATAGCATTTTTACTTTTCATTGGATTGTAATTGTTTTTAAAGGAACAGTATTTTTTAGCTCTTTATTGTTGAGTATTCCCCCATAATTTTCTCCCCAATTGTCCTCCTCCACTAGTTCCTGCCCCCAAAGGCATTCACCACCCTATTCATTGTCTGTGTCCACGGGTAATGCATGTATGCATGTAAGTTCTTTGGTTAATCTCTTTCTGTCCCTCCTCCTCTATTCCCTCTGAGATTTTTCAATCTGTTTCATGTTTTCATGCCTCTGGTTCTATTTTATTCATCAGTTAATTTTGTTCATTAGATTTCTTGTTCATTTTGATTATTAGATTCAGTTATTGATAGTTATGTATTTATTGCCATTTTATTGTTTATAAAATTTGTGCACAGCAGGGTTGTCCCTCAATCTGGCCTACACCCTCTCCAATCTGGGAACCCTCAGGGGATGTCCAACTGCCGGTTTTGGCTTGAACCCGGTAGTCAGACATCCCTCTCACAATAGGGACTGCTGGCTCCTAATCACTTGCCTGCCTGTCTGCCTGCCTGATTGCCCCTAAATGCTCCCTTGCTGGCCTTATTGCCCCCAACTGCCCTCCTCTACCGGGACTGGCCTTCGTGCTGTGCAGAGCCACAGGACCCCCAGGCTTCATGGCACAGAATGGCCACTGGGCCCTGCCTCTGCTGTGCATGCAGCCATCTTGTGGTGATGTCACTCATGTGGGTGTCGCATGAGGACGTGACACCACCTACACTTTTATTATGTAGGATTGTGATCTTTTTCTCCTCCTTCTACTCCTCATCTTTACTCCTTCCTCATCCCTCCTCCTTACTTTTCTTTAAGAAGACCCTTTAACATTTCATGTAATACTGCTGGTATGTTGATGATGAACTCCTTTAGCTTCTTCTTGTCTGTGAAGCTCTTTATCTGACCTTTAATTCTAAAAGATAGCTTTGCTGAGTAGAATAATCTTGGTTGTAGGTACTTGCTATTCATCAATTTGAATGGTGTCCTTGCCACTTCCTTCTGGCCTGCTGTTGAGAAATTAGCTGACATTCGTATGGGTGCTCCCTTATAGGTAACTACTAACTGCTTTTCTCTTGCTGCTTTTAAGATTCTCTCTTTGTCTTTAACCTTTGTCATTTAAATTATAATGTGTCTTGGTGTGGGCCTCTTTGAGTTCATTTTGTTTGGGACTCTCTGCACTTCCTGGACTTGTATGTCTATTTTTTTTCAGCAGATAAGAGAAGTTTTCTGTCATTATTTCTTCAAATAGGTTTTCAACTTCTTGCTCCCTCTCTTCTCTTTTTGACAGCCCTATCATGTGAATAATTTGCCTGAAGTTGTCCCAGAGGCTCCGTAATATTTTTGGATTCTTTTTTCTTTTTGCTGTTCTAATTGCGTGTTTTTACTTCCTCATATTCCAAATCTCTGATTTGATTCTTGGTATTCTCTATTCTATTATTGATTCCTTCTAAGTTATTCTTAATTTTAGTTAGTGTATCCTTCATTTCTAACTTGTCATTTTTTATGTTGATGTTCTCACTAAGTTCCTTGAAGTTCTCAAGTTCCTTGATCATCCTTATAACCATAGTTTTGAACTCTGAATGTGGTAGTTTTCTTTTACTTCTTTTTCTGGAGATTTCTCCTGTTCTTTCATTTGTGTCATGTTTCTTTGTCTCTGCATATTGGCTGCTTCACTGTATTTGATTCTATATTATAATACGTAAAGCTGCTATGTCTCTTGGAATTGGTCGAGTGGTCTTGTGTAGTATGTGTCCTGTAGGGCCCAGTGGCTCAGCCACCGTCATCTGAGTTGGGCACTTCCAGTGTGCCCCTTTGCAGGCTGTGTGCACTGTCCTATTATATAATAGTTGAGCCTTAATGGGAGGAATTGGCTTCCAGGCCAATTGCTGTGTGAACTGAAAGAGTTGCTGTGCAGGAGATGCCTCTGTGGAGCAGGACTTTCTTCATTGGGATTTTGGTGCTCCTTATGTCTGCCCCTTGAATATGTCACTGGTTGATGTGGTAGGGTCATAATCTGTTGTGGTCTGAAGCTGACCACCAGGTGCTCTGGCTGTGGGTCCTCCAACCTGTGTCTTGCCTGGGCCACCCAGCACGAGCTATAGGGTAATCTGCAGATGGCTGCTACTTGCATTGAATTTCGAAGGGCCCAGGAGAGGCCAAGGTGTGAAGCAAGGCAGGCTACTGTTGAGCCTGGAGCTGCTTATTGAGTGGTATGGGACATGATGACACCAGCTGTTGCTTGTTTGGGAGATTTTAGGAAAGTCTGAAGCCTGAGCAGGACAGGCCATTCATTTACAAAAACCACTGCAAACAGCTTGGGTGGGATTGCAAATTGGGTGGGACAAGGTCTCAGTGAATCCAACCAGGGCAGAGCTAACAGTGTGAACTAGGTTGAGGGAAACTTCCTGTTAGCATTGTGGTGGGGAAGTCTCAGCAAAAGGACAATGACCTATGCCAGCACTTTTGTCTGAGAGAAAGCTGCCTCCCAGTTTTTGCCCTGATGCCAGACAATTGAGTTTCTCCCCGAATATTTCTAGATCCTTTCAAGCTACTGCCCCAACATTGGAGCTCAGAGGGAGTGCGTCAGAGTAAATCTGTGTATTGGCCCTTTAAGAGGTATTGCTTGAGACTCCAGCAGCCCCCATGTCACTCATGGGGACTTATGGGGACTTCTCTTCCCCACATTGGAACCCTGAGCAGAGGAGTCGGACGTGGGGTTGGGACCCCTTGTTCCTTACAATAGAGTGAGGGCGGGGAGGTGTTCTATGGCCAACATATCCCTCTGGATTAAAAAAAAAACTCCACACATGGCTGTGGGACCAATCCATTCCACACCTCCACTCTTCCTATCAGTCTCAATGTGGTTTCTGCTTTAATGCTGCAGTTTTGGGCCTTCCATTCAGCCAGATTTCAGGTGGTTCTGAATGATGGTTGTTCTGTGGTTTAGTTGTAATTTTGATGTGGTTGTGGGAGGATGCAAGAGCCACTTTTAACTATGCTCCTCCTCCTGGGAACAGTATTTTTTAATTGTCATAGTAATTTGTAATTTTATATTTGTTTTCCAGAATATTAATAACCATCCTAGTTTAGCATCATCTGCATGTCTGGCCACATGATCGGTTCCTTCCATTATGTCATCCTAAGGATATTAAATGGCATGCAATCCAAGTGCCCTTTTGGTATCACTTTCAAACCATTGGTACATTAACAAGACCATACTTCCCAGTCTGTAATTGAGAACATAATGTCAGATAGAATAAAATAACTTTTTATTAAATAATTGAAAGGAAGAGATAACCTGTGGTAACTGAATCAGTCTTTCCCTCTTTATACACACATACATATATCTAAATATATATTTTTTAACCTGCTGACAGTTATTCTACTTTGTGCCTGGCATTAGGCTATCATTTTTCTCTTGTCTTTTACTCATGAAAAGAACTAAATGGAACCGACATTATTTGCTCAGTGGAAAATTATAGTAATTGTCTCACAGTATTTAATACTCTTTGCAAACAGCTAGATTATTTGAATCAATATTTTTCTAGGTGTTGCTATTAAATTGATGGGTTGCTTACATCTAGGGATATTCTTTGTTGTAGAGAGAAACCTCATTTTTCTATTTCTATATCAATAGTCATCAGAAATCTGTTTAGTACCTTGTGTATGTCTATTAGTTGCTACTGTCCTAGAAAGTTTGGTGATAGCAGGACAAAGGTATATGGTAAGTAAGTATATGCTTTCACTCAGGTTGGAAAACATGCATGTTGACAGTTAGAACATGACGGTTTATAAGCAATTATAATACACACAGGAGACTAGATTTAAACTGATAAGGAATTTCAGACAATGGAGAAATTAAATGGCCTGAAGTTGTCAAGATGACTGCATAAAGGAAGTTATCTTGAAAACAAAACAAGATTTGATATTGGGCAGTTTACATGTGCAGCACAGCATAAACAAACACAAAATTTCTGATATTTTATATTTGTGTTAATACTCAGAACACTCTGAGTTACTTGTTTATCGAAAAGTCTAGTGTTTTGGGATAGTCCATACTTATGCAGGCTATGTGTAAATATTTCTGTAGTCCTAATAATTATATAACCTGCAATTAGCTCTTGGAAAAATACATGTAAAGACTATTTGTGAAACAGTGAGCATAAACATTACACTTAGTTCATTAAAATATCTGTGGTTGTCAGTAATCAGATTATATTTTTAGAAACTGCTAATAATATTTTACATAATTTATTGTACAATTTTTAAAGAACCTGCATCTTTTCTTTGTTTGGAATAACTGTTGTATGTGCCATGTAAGCATCCTCATGTCCACTTTTGTACTTTCTTTCATAGTCTCCATCACACCCAAGAGCTGCTCTATGAGAGCACCAAAGACTTTTTGCAACTCAGATTTGAAAACCAAAATAAGGAGAAGTCATGGATGCTTGAAAAGGATCAGTTGATGTCAAAGATTAAGCAATATAGGGCACAGAGTAAGAAGAAAGAAGATAAAATTGGAAAAGGTTGGCCAGTTGTTCATGAGAGTCAGCGCAAGCAATGTGAATATATTAAGGTAGTTTCTGTGTATTTACTTTTTTGTTGTTTTGTTTGTTTGTTTTTTCTGCAAGAATTTGAAAGAACTCAGAGAATTCCAAAAAAACCCAGAATTATCATTCAAGATCCATTCAGATCAGGAGTCGATGTAGCAACAACCTCAAAAAACGGGTTTCAAAGAATAGCTCATCATTACAGTGTTTAGAGATTTAGAAAATGAAATGATTGATTGATTGATCAATCAATCAGTTGATTCATTCATTCATTTCATTCAATACTTTTTTTTTTTTTTTTGTAATTCTCACCAGAGGATACCTTTCCATTGACTTTTGAGAGGGTAGAAGAGAGAAAAGTAAAGGAAGGAGAGAGAAAGAGAGAGAGAAAAACTTAGATGTGAGAGACACATTAATTGGTTGCCTCCCACATGTATCCTGACTGGGCAAAGATTGAACCTATAACCCCGGTATGTGCCCTTGACTGGGAATCAAACCCACAATCCTTCAGTCCTTGGACCAATGCTCTCTCATTGAGCCACACCAGCCATTCATTCAACAAATATTTAATGCTCTCCTTTCTGGGCTAGGCTCTGGGTCTATAACAGTACATAAGCTTGACCAGGTCTGCTATCATGGCATTTACATCTTTAAAAAAAAAAAAATAGGTTTTTATTGATTTTAGAGAGAGAGGGAGGGAGATACATCGATGAAAGAGAATCATCTATTGGCTGCCTCCTGCATCCCCCCTACCTGGATGGAGCCTGCAACATGGGCATATCCCTGAATGGGAATTAAAGTGTGACTTTCTGGTCCACTGGTCCAGGCTCAGCCACTGAGCCACACCATTTACATCTTAATGGGTGAGAAAACAGAAACATTAACAATCAAAAAAAGGATAGCCCAGCCCTAGCTGGTTTAACTCAGTGGATAGAGCATCGGCCTACAGACTGAAGGTCCTGGGTTCAATTCCAGTCAGGGGCACATGCCCAGGCTGCAGGCTAAATCCCCAGTGGGGGGCATGCAGGAGGTAGATGGTCGGTGATTCTCATCATTGATGTTTTTATCATTCTCTCCCTCTCCCTTCCTCTCTGAAATCCGTAAAAAAAAATAAATTAAAAAAAAAAGAAAGAAAAGAAAAAGGATAGCTGGTATGCACAGTGGTTGAGTATTGACCTATGAACCAGGAGGTTATGGTTTAATTACTAGTCAGGCACAAGCACAGGTTGTAGGCTCAATTCCCAGTGTGGGGCAGGCTAGAGACAGCCGATCAGTGATTCTCTCTCATCACTCTCTCTCTCTCTCTCCCTCTCCCTGTCCCTGCCCCTGTCCCTCTCCCTGTCCCTCTTCCTGTCCCTGTCCCTCTCCCTGTCCTTGTCCCTCTCCCTTTTCCTCTTCCTTTCCCTCTCCCTCTCCCTTTCTTCCTTTCTCTCTGAAATCAATAAAAATATATATTTTTAAAAAGGATTGATTGCTAAAACCGGTTTGGCTCAGCAGATAGAGCGTCGGCCTGCGGACTGAAAGGTCCTAGGTTCGATTCCTGTCAAGGGCATGTACCTTGGTTGCAGGCACATCCCAGTAGGGGGTGTGCAAGAGGCAGCTGATCGATGATTCTCTCTCATTGATGTTTCTAACTCTCTATCCCTCTCTCTTCCTCTCTGTAAAAAATCAATAAAATATATTTAATAAATAAATAAATAAATAAAATAAAATAAAAAGGATAGATTATGAGCCCAGGCCAGGTAGTTAGAGCATTGTCCTGATATACTAAGGTTGTGGGTTTGATCCCTTGTCAGGGCACATACAAGAATCAACCAATCAATGCATAAATAAGTGGAATAACAAATGTTTCTCTCCCTCTCTCTCTTTATCTCTCTAAAATCAAATAAAAATGAAATATTTAAAAGAGAAAATTATGCCAAAACCGATTTGGCTCAGTGGATAGAGCATCAGCTTGTGGATAGAAGGGTCCCAGGTTCGATTCCGGTCAGGGATATGTACCTTGGTTGCGGCCATGTCCCCAGTAGAAGGCGTACAGGAGGCAGCTGATCGATGACTCTCATCAATGTTTCTAACTCTCTCTCTCCCTTCCTCTCTGTAAAAAATCAATAAAATATATTTTAAAAACTTTTATGATAAGTTGGTATTAAGGAAATAAAAGGATTATATGAAAACTAGAGGCCCGGTGCATGAAATTCAACCCAGCCTGCACCTTCTCCAATCCAGGACCCCTCAGGGGACATCTGATCCTAGCGATCAGGCCTAAACCAGCAGTTGGACATCCTTCTCATAATCCGGGACCACTGGCTCCTAACTGCTCACCTGCCTGCCTGCCTGACCACCCCTAACTGTGTACCCTGCTGGCCTGATCACCCCCAACTACCGGCCTAGCTCCCCTTACTGCCACACACCCCTCCCAGCCTGGTTATCCATAACTGCCCCCCTTGCCAACCTGGTTGCCTCCAACAGCCCCCCTTGCAGGCCTGGTTGTCCCACACAGTTTGTTGTTCAATTGTTTGGTTGCCCCTAACTAAACCTGCCGTTCTGGTCGCCCCACACAGCCTATTGCTCAGTCATTTGGTCGCCCCCTCACTAACCCCCTGCCGGCCTAGATGCCCCACACAGCCTGTGTGGTTGTCTGTTCGGTTGCAATGGTTACTTAGGTTTGTGTGTGTGTGTGTGTGTGTGTGTGTGTGTGTGTATAGATTATATGTAGTTGCTGGAAGTCTAGTTTTATGGAAAAGCATATGGACACACACTCTCTTAAGTCTGGTGTTTTTACTGAGATCTGAAAAATGGGATTTAGCTTGCCATTAGATTTAGGGGGGAGCATTCCAAGGGAAGGACAAGTTTAAAGGCCCTGGTGTATGTATGTTTAAAAAGGAAGTGATATACAAGGAGATTGGGAGGGTGGCCCTCCATTACTGGCGCTACACACACCCTCAGTCTCCTTGTGTACCACTTCCTCCTTGCTTATTTCTTTTTAACCTTATATTCTTCCTTTTCCTTGACCATACTTCAGGACCTTTAAACTTATTCCTTTCTCTGCCTGGAATGCTCTTTCTTCAAGTCTGTATTTAAGGAAGTAACATGATCTCATTTAGCTTTTTAAAGATCATTCTGACATCCTATATAATAAAGAGGTAATGTGCAAATTGACTGTCATGCCCTCGCACAAGATGGCCACCCTCATGTGGTCAAAGATGGCTGCCACATAATGGCTATCAGGGGAGGGTAGTTGTGGGAGACGGAGCTGGCAGGGGAGGGCAGTTGGGGGTAATTGGGCTAGCAGGGGAGCAGTTAGGCTGACAGCAGAGTGGTTAGGGGGTGATCAGACTGACAGGCAGAAGCAGATAGGGGCAATTAGGCAGGTGAGTGGTTGGGAGCCAGCAGTCCCGGGTTGTGAGAGGGTTGTCCCAGATTGGAGAGGGAGCAGGCTGAATGAGGGACAACCTCCACTCAGTGCACGCATTTTGTGCACTGGGCTTCTAATGTATAATAAGTATTGTTGATATTTCTTTCTTTTTAAAGAACTTTAGAAATGTTCCCCAAACATGTACAGTAGTCCCTTGATATTGGCAGGGAATTGATTCCAGACACCAAAATCCAGGTTGTTCAAGTTCCATATATAAAATGGCATAGTATTTGTATTAATCTATACACATCCTCCCATATACTTTAAATCATCTCTACCCATAATACCTAATACAATGTAAATATTATGTAGCCTGGCCAGTGTGGCTCAGTGATTGAGCATCAACCTATGAACCAGGAGGTCATAGTTCAATCCCCAGTTAGGGCACGTGCTTGCGTTGTGGGCTCCATTCCCAGTTAGCGGGTGTGCAAGAGGCAGCCGATCAATAATTTTCATTGATGTTTCTATTTCTCTCTGAAATCAAAGGAAAAAAATTTTTTTTAAAGAAACAACAATGTAAATGCTATGTAAATGATTGTTATACTGTATCATGTAGGGCAGTGGTTATCAACTGGTGTGCTACAAGAATTTTTAAAACATTCAATACCTGACTATTTGGTCAGGGCACTGACCTCTTTTCCTTTACATTGTCAAATTAAAAAATGACCATAGCCACCCCAGATGGTTTGGCTTACTGGATAAAGTGTTGGCTTGTGGACTAAAGGGTCCCAAGTTTGACTCCAATCAAGGGCACATGCCCAGGTTGTGGGCTCAGTTCCCAATAGAGGATATGCAGGAGGCAGCTGATCAATGATTCTATTTCATCATTGATGTTTCTATCTCACTCTAACTTCCCCTTCCTCTCAAATAAATTTAAAAAATATTTTTTTTAAAAAATGACAACAGCCAACACAATTTCCATCTGATGTGAATGAATCAAAATTACACCTATTTTTTTTTTTTCTCAAATCAGCAAAAAACATTTTTGGTGTGGGGAAGAATTTTAGTCATTAGTTTATGTGTGCAATGAGATGAAAGAGTTTGAAAATCATTGGTTTAGGACAGTGGTCAGCAAACTCATTAGTCAACAGAGCCAAATATCAACAGTACAACCATTGAAATTTCTTTTGAGAGCCAAATTTTTTAAACTTAAACTTCTTCTAATGCCACTTCTTTAAAATAGACTCTCCCAGGCCATGGTATTTTGTGGAAGAGTCACACTCAAGGGGCCAAAGAGCTGCATGTGGCTCGTGAGCCACAGTTTGCTGTCCATGGGTTTAAGGAATAATGACAGGGGGCGGGGGAATCTGTACATGTTAAGTAGGCCTAACTACATAGTATCAGCAACAGTGTACCTTTTGTTTGTTTGTTTGTTCCCTGTTTGGTTGAATCCATGGATGTGGAACCTGCAGATAGGAGGGTTGGCTATATTATTATGCCTTATTTGGACAGTTCTGAACTTCATTATCTTCAAAGAACCAAAGTTATTTGTTTTATTTTAAAGGATTTCTACTGTGTGTACTTTAGAAAAAGGCTAAGAGAATTGTCTTTCAAATGTTCTCCAAAGTTCCTTACTATCTTGTTATGTAACTCATTTGTACTGAAGATCTTTTCATTCCTTTTTTTTCTTTATCTAAATGCTATTTCAATTATCTAAATTATAGAACTGAATGTTGTTTTCCACATTTGACCTGCAGTGCCTAAAGGATAAGTTAATACAAGAGAAAAAGCTGTCAAACATGTACCAAGAGCAGTGCATTTCCCTAGAAGAAGAACTTTCCCGAATTCGTGAGGAAGAGGGAATGAGGAGAGAGATCTTCAAGGTACAGTATTCTCGCCACTTATGATGGTGTGTGAAGTCTAATGGCTCAGGAATGCTTATCTTCATATGCCTTCTCATTTCCCTATATTTAGGATCGCTCTAACAAGATGGGGAAGCGTTTACAAGTAATGACAAAACGCTATGAGGCCTTGGAGAATCGGCGTATGTTGGAAGTAGAAGGCTTTAAGACAGATATTAAGATTCTCAGGCAGAAACTGAAAGACTTGGAACAAATGCTCTATAAGGTAATTCCTGAACCTGAATTATTAAAAGGGATAAAAGGGGTACAAGTGAGAAAACATGGTCAACAGGGCTCTCAGAAGAAAGATGTGCTATTTCCCTAATAGTAAGTGCTGATGGATCAACATCCTTTCAGTCTCATTAAAATTAGTTTAACAAGTACTTACTGCTGAAACCAGTTTGGCTCAGTGGATAGAGTGTCAGCCTGCAGACTGAAAGATCCCAGGTTCGATTCCGGTCAAGGGCATGTACCTTGGTTGCAGGCACATCCCATAGAGGGTGTGCAGGAGGCAGCTGGTCGATGTTTCTCTTCATAGATGTTTCCAACTCTCTATCCTTCTCCCTTCCTCTCTGTAAAAAATCAATAAAATGTATTTTAAAATAAATAAATAAAAATAAAATAAAATATATTTTAAAACAAAATAAAAAAAACCCAAGTACATACTAGCCCGGCTGGCATGGCTCAGTGGTTAAGCGTCCACCTATAAATCAGAAGGTCATGGTTTGATTCCCATCAGGGCACATGCCTGGGTTGCAGGCTCGATCTGTAGTATGGGACGTGCAGGAGGCAGCTTACCGATGATTCTCTCTCATCATTGATGTTTCTCTCTCTCTGTCCTTTCCCCTTTCTCTCTCAGATCAATAAAAATATACTTTTAAAACAAGTACACACTAAAGAGAAGACAAAAATAATTGAATGACTGCATCATTATACTTTTATGTAAGCTAAAATTAACAGAAATTTTCATCCCTCCCAATTCAAGAAGTAGGTTAAAAGAGCTATGTTGAGGGGAAAACCAAGATGGCAGCATAGGTAAACACCTAAACTGCAGCCTCGCACAAAAATTTCAAAACTACAACTAAAAGACAAAACAGACATCATCCAGAACCACAGGAAAGCTGACTAACTGGAAATTCTACAATTAGAAGGAAAGAGAAAACCACAAGGAAAATCAGAGGAGCTATAAAAGCCTGAGGTACAGAGACACGGGAAAGCACCTGTGGGGAGGACGGAACCGGAGAGGATGGGGTGGCTGAATGCCTGGCTTGTGTTCTCCAGCAGGAAGAAGATAAAAGCTCCGGACTGCACTGAACCCTATTTCCTATTGCACTGAACCCCAGTTCTGGGAGAGACCCTGGGGACCCAGGCCCATACAGGGAGAATCTGGGCTGTAAGGCAGAAACTCAGGGAAGTGGCAAAAGGCAGAACTCCGAAGGCGTGCATGTGAATACGCGCAGAGGACGGACTGTTGACTCTGCCACTGGATTGCCCTAGAGGGAAGGAGACAAAAAGCTCTGGACTGCGCTGAACCCCAGTTCCGGTCAAGAATCTGGGAATCCAGATTCATTGGAGGAGAGACTAGTCTGTCTGGCAGCGGGTGAAACTCGAGGGCGCCTTTCTCTCAGAGAGGGACACTAAGACCCAGGAACCTCATAGGATGGGGCTGACAGGAAGCCAAAGCTGTAGGCTTCACACTGAAACTCTGCACCATCCAAGCTGAGCACACAAGCTTTTGCAATTTTCCAAGTCTAGTCGAATAAGGCTGTCTCCTGGCATAAACACAACTGATCCTCACAGTCATCTGGCCTGGAGATCAACTCCTCCCACTGATAGCAACAACAATCAAGACTTAACTACAACAAGCCTGTACACACAGTCCACAAAGAGGTGCATCAAGAGTGTCCACCTCAGGTAAATGGGGAGGCTGACCCACTGGGCCATATAGGACACCTAGCACACAAAGCCACCCTCCCAACTCAGGGAAGCAGTGAAAATGCGGAGACAAAAAAAGATCACAAATGAAAGAAATGGAGGAAAACAAACAGCTGAAGATAGAGTTCAAAATCACAGTTATAAGCTTTTTTAAGAATTTCCTAGAAAAGCTGATAAATTTAGCGAGACCCTCGAGGATATGAGAGAGATCCTCGAGGATATGGAAAAGGATCAACTAGAAATTAAACATAGCCAAAACCGGTTTGGCTCAGTGGTAGAGCGTCGGTCTGCGGACTGAAAGGTCCTGGGTTCGATTCTGGTGAGGGGCATGTACGTCGGTTGCGGGCACATCCCCAGTAGGGGGTGTGCAAGAGGCAGCTGGTCGATGTTTCTCTCTCATCGACGTTTCTAGCTCTCTGTCTTTCTCCCTTCCTCTCTGTAAAAATCAATAAAATATATTTAAAAAAAAGAAAAAGAAATTAAACATAAACTGAATGAACTAAAAAATATTATACAGACACCCAACAGCAAACTATATAGAAGAATGCAAGAATCAAGTCAAAGATTTGAAATACAGAGAAGCAAAAATCACTCAACTGGAAAAGCTAAAAGAAAAAAGAATCCAAAAATTTGAAGATAGGGATAACTTCAAGTGTACCAACATCAGAATTATAGGGGTGCCAGAAGAAAAGAGAGATCAGGATATTGAAGGCCTATTGAAAGAAATAATGACAGAAAACTTCCCCCACCTGGTGAAAGAAATAGACTTACAAGTCTAGGAAGCACACAGAACCCCTAACACAATGTTTCCCAAAGTGTGGTACACGTACCCCAAGGGTACGGGAAGAGTTTGGTGGGGTACACATTGCATCGGAGTTTGGTGGGGATATGCACTGCACCATGCTTAGCTGTGCCTAATTCTACATTCTCATGAGTACGAGGGGGTACTCAGTGTTACGAAAATTATAGGAGGGGTACACATATGTCAAAAGTTTGGGAAACACTGCGTAACAAAAGGAATCCAAAGAGGACCACACCAAGACACATCATAATTAAAATGCCAAGAGCAAATGACAAAGAGAGAATATTAAAAGCAGCAAGAGAAAAACAGTTACCTACAAGGAAGCACCCATACAATTGTCAGCTGATTTCTTAACAGAAATTATGTAGGTCAGATGGGAGTGGCAAGAAATAGTCAAAGTGATGATTATTAAGAACCTATAACTAATAGTACTCTACCCAGCCAAGCTGACATTCAGAATTGAAGATCAGATAAAGAGCATCACAGATAAGAAAAAGCTAAAGGAGTTCATCACCACCAAGCCAATATTATATGAAATGCTGAAAGGTATTCTTTAAGAAGAGGAAGAAGAAGAAAAAGATAAAAATTATGAACAACAAATACATATCTATCAACAAGTGAATCTAAAAATCAAGTGAATAAAAAATCTGATGAACAGAATAAACTGGTGAATATAATAGAATCAAGGGCATAGAAAGAGAGTGGACTGACATCTTGGGGAAAGGGATGTGGGGGGAAGAGATTGGACAAAAATTGTACATCTATGGATGAGGACAGTTGGGAGGGGGGGTGTAAGGGAAAAGGGTGGGATGAGGACCAGGTGGAGGGGAGCAATGGGGAGTGGGGGGAAAGAGGAACAACTGTAATAATCTGAACAATAAAGATTTATTTATTTTTTTTAATTTAAAAAAGAGCTATGTTTTTTTTTTTTTTTTTTACAAGTAGGGAGTAATAAAATAATTTTTCCCTATCAGACACAGCTTTATTTAGAAACAAAGTTTCAAGAACCTTTTTACAGAGACTTAACCAGTTGTCCACCCATCATCACTATGCTCCAAAGTTGATTATAAAAAAGAAGAGGTACTTTCTTAACAAATTTACCAGTGATGTTTATATTGGTCTCTTTTATTCTATATTACTACCTTTTTGTTAGTCACTAAAACTAAGAATTAGATTTACCTTGTATACCAAATGTCTCATGAAAAAAAGAGCCATCATAGTTTGGTCTTTATGACTGATTTCTCTCCACTGGCATATGCTGTAATCATTTCTTCTTCTTTTTTTAAATCTCTAGGCAACAGTTAATGCCCGGGCAAACCAGGATCTTGCTATTCTGTGTGAGGTTCGTGACAGCAATAAACGAGCACATAAGATACAAGGAGAACTGAAGAACCTAAAGTCCAAATTATTTGGTCTGGAGAATGAACTTAGACTCTGTTGATATTTACTTTTAGAAATGGCCTTGGTCTGAAGTGAGTTTGTGTGTGTGTGTGTGTGTGTGTGTGTGTGTGTGTGTGTGTGTGAAATCTGAGAAAAATGTCCTCCCAGAAACTGTGGACAAAGTTGACTAGAGTGGTGGTACCCATTATTATAAAGACAGGATGAAGAATCAGGGACCACTAAAAAAGCCATTCTTGCATTGTAAACTTTATAATTTTTGCTGTCTTATTCACCATTTTTGCTTTTTTATGTGTGTGTTTTGTGTGGGGGTTTTTGGTCTTGGTTATTACCTAAATTACTTAGAGACCACATATTTTTCCCATTTATAATGAGAGTTTTTTATTTTTTAAGAAGACAGTGACCGTGAAAACTTAGGAAGGAAGAATGTTTGCTATGAGCATGGCTGAGTGTCATAAGAGAAACACTTTCATTGAGGAGACAAAGGTATCCACCCAAATGGCCTTCTCTTAGGCATAGGGACAACCGTGGAGTGCGAATAGGCAGTAATTCTGCCATGTAATTGTCTTCAGTTGAGAGTTGGGAGGCCTGAATTACTTATGGACACCCAATCTCAAAGTTTCACCAGAGGGCGATAGAGACCCTGCTCTTAAGCAAAATGTATTTAGGAAAATAAAGTTGCCACTTTGGTTAAGAGGGAGTAAAAATTTAATAATCCTTGTATGAAAAGTTCAGCTTTGTACCAATAACATTTTTAAATAATTTAAATATTTTAAATTAACTATTTTTCAATAAAATATGTAATTGAAAATATTCTCTTTGAGTTTTCTATAATTTCATGTTAAAAGCACATTTATACTTTGTTAGTGACTTGGTTTACTTGTTGCATGGTCTCTACAGTCCTGTATAAATATTAAAGTTTTCCTAAATGTGTTCTTTGAAGTTGTCTGGTATTGGAGGTGTTCTTTGAAGTTGTCTAGTACTAAAGATGATGACACTAACACTTTTCCATTTTTTCATCTATATCCTCTTTTAGGCAAATTGCTATGCTTTGAGACAAAGTGATTGTGTGTGTCACTCTCACTTTGATGTTTCTCCCTCCCCCACCCCCTTCTCCTCCTCCTCTCTCCTCCCCTCCCTTTCTTCTACTCTCTCTAAAAATCAATGGAAAAAACATCCGTGGATAAGGATTAAACACACACATATACATACATACCACACAACAGAGAAGGTGACTTAAATAAGGTCATATTTGAGCTGAATTGTAAAAGTGAATTTGGAGCCAGATAAGAATTTGGGCATTCTAGGTAGAAGGACAATATGTGTGAAGGCATGGAAGAATGAAATGTTTTGGAAAGTACAAGACCAGGAGACAAAGTTATGTAATATAGGACAAAAGAAATACATGAATTTCATTTAATACAATAATGTGAAATCATATATTTCATTACCTTTTGCATGAATTGAAAACAAAATGAAAATAAATAGCATCAGAAATATTTAGTGACTAGAGGCTCTGGGCACAAAATTCATGCATGGGGATTGGGGTATCCTTCAGCCTAGCCTGCACCCTCTCTAATCTGGGACCCCTTGAAGGCAGTGAGACATCCCTCTCACAATCCAGGACTGCTGGCTCCTAATTAATTGCCTGTCTGCCTGCCTGATTGCCCCAAACCACTATACCTTCCAGCTTGATCAACTCCTAACCACTCCCCTGCCAGCCTGATCAACGCCTAACTGCTCCCTTGCTGGCCCGATTGCCTTCCTAATTGCCCTCCACTGCTGTCCTGGTCACCCCTAACTGCCCTCCCCTGCTGGCTTGGTTCCTCCCAACTGCCCTCCTCTGCAGGCTTGGTTGCCCCCAACTGCCTTCCCCTGCATGCTTGGTTGCCCCTACTGCTCTCCTCTGCTGGCCCAGTCACACCTAACTGCCCTCCCCTGCATGCCTGATTGCCTCCAACTGCCCTCCCCTGCTGGCCTGGTTCCTCCCAACTGCCCTCTCCTGCAGGCCTGATTGCCCCCAACTGCCTTCCCCTGCAGGCCTGGTCACCCCTACTGCTCTCTTCTGCTGGCCCAGTCACCCCTAACTGCCCTCCCCTGCATGCCTGATTGCCCCCAACTGCCCATCCTTGCAGACCTGGTCCCTCCCAACTGCCCTCCCCTATTGGCCTGATAGCCCACAACTCCCTCCCCTGCTGGCCATCTTGTGGCAGTCATCGTGTGTCCACATAGGGGCAGCCATCTTTGACCACATGAGGATGGCTATCTTGTGTGTTGGTCAATTTGCATATTACCTATTATATAGGATACTCATGCATTGAAAGAATTTGAAGTGCAAACTCATTTTTGTATCACACATTAATAAATAAATGAAATGTTTATTTCCTAGGAAATCCTTACACTGCAGATCAAGGCAAGGAACAGTCAATACCAGAATTCACTGCAGGATCTGCAGGAACAAAGCAAAAGATGGTTCAAAAGATCTTTACAAAAGAGCCATCAGTATCATTTCTTTGCCCTTTAAATTTTCTCTTCTAGCCTACATATGAGTAACTTAATAATAAGTCACCTTAAATATATATATATATATATATATATATATATATATATATATATATATATATTGATTTCAGAGAGGAAGGGAGAGGGAGGGAGAGAGAAAAACATCAATGATGAGAGAGAATCATTGTCTGCCTTCTGCATGCCCCCTCTTGGAGATGGAGCCAGCAACCTGGGCATGTGCTCTTAACTGGAATCAAATCCAGGAGCCTTCAGTCCCCAGGCAGACACTCTATCCATTGAGCCAAACCAGCTAGGACAAGTCACCTTTTTATTCACTGAAATATATGCTATTTTTCCCCAACAGAATAGCCTATATTATTTTTGGTCCAGTCTTATGCTTCTCATTGCCTCTCCCCCCACACCACACTAATTGGGCTACTAAGATTTACTGTAATATTTGCAACAGAGCAGATAGTATTGTCACAGCTCACTGCAATCAGAAACCAGACAAGAGGAGATGGCTACAGTCCCTATCCAGAATAGAAATTCAAGGACTGAGCTAAAGAGACATTGGGAATAGATATGAAGGGACAGTGAACATCACTTCCCTACAATGGATGAAATATGAAGGTTAGGGAAGAATTAAGGATAATTCTTTAAACCCAAAGTTTCTGGTTTGGGGAACCATGTGTATAGTGACAGCATTAATTGAGATATAGCATATATGAGAAGCAAATTTCCAATAAATTTGAAATTAGGTGTTAGTGATAAGGGAGGTCAAAGAGAAGTTAAGATTAAAGATAGAGATTTGAAATTATTGTTATACAGCAGATAATTTAAATAATTGATTCAAATTAGGCTGTGGATGAAACAGAGATGGGAAGCTTATAGAATGAGAAGAAGGCCAAGAGGGAACCCTAGTGGTCAGAGGAGATACCTCATAATGAAAGAATGGTCTGAATAATAAATTTTCTGGAAACCTAGAGGAATGAAAAGCTGAAGAAGTAAAAGGCTGGCAGTATTGTTACTTTGGGGGATTGAGAAGGAACATAAATTAGAATTGGGTATTGCCACTTCATAGAAAAATAAGGTAAGTTAAAATTAAGATTTGGCAATTTAGTAACAGGTGAATTTAGAGCAATTTCAGTGAAGTGGAGATGGAGGTCAGCCCATATTAGGTTGAGAGATGAGACAGAGAGGAAGATGGAAGTAGCTTGAGAGTTGATAGAACCAAGGAAAGGAATTTTGATGGTTTTAAATTGGAAAAGATGTAACATACTTATAGACTGAAAGGGGAAAGCAGAGGAAGGTATTGAAAATTGAGTAATGAGAGTGGGTGCTTGGGGAAAAGATGCTGGAGGAGATTGAGAGCCAGTGTTGAAGGAGGCAATAAGAGTAGATAAGGGGTGATTGCATCATTTTTAATAGAGGAAATAAAATCAAGGCCATCCACTGAAAGAGAGATGGGCATTGATGTGATGAGGAACTTGATGAAAAGAGTGAACATTTGGAAATATAAGAGGGAGCTGCTAAGGAGCACGTGATAGAATTGTGAGGGATAGGTCTTCATGAAGGAGGGGTTAATTGAGTTGAGTTGACTGCCAATGGAAAAATGTCTAGGATTGCAGCAAGTCATAGTCTGCTCACGTACCTTCCAAACTTCCCAAAAAGGTGGGACACAGAGGCAAAATAAATCTAAAATAGGCAGACCAGCTGGAAAAAGGGCAGGTAAAGAGACGGAGCTGGAGGGGGGATTTGGCTACTAAATGAAAGGAGACACTGCAAAGAAAATGTTTCAATAGGGTTTTGGGTTTTTTTTCCTTTCCTTTCTCTCCCCCTTCCCCCCCCCTTGCCCCCCTAAAACAGCAAGGTCAAAATTTGTTCTTAAAACTGGAATGGAAAAACACACACACACACAATAAAAACCCAAGCTAAAGCAATAACTGACATAATTTTTCCTTTTGTAGATGTACTTTTCCATTTGGAAGCCAAGGTTGGTACCACTTAAGTGGGCTCCTGCAAGGGTTTTGTGTTTGTTTATTTTTTAAAGTCTCTACATTAAAATATTACTTTATGGTCTAAGCTATGGAGTATTCCATTCCTGGATTGACTAGTGGCTTAGTTTCAAGTTAGCCCTACAAAAGGCTATTTTTCCATTGATTTTTTTTTGTTTTGTTTTTTTTTGAGAGAGGGAAAAAGAGAGAAATGTCAATGTGAGAGAAACACATTGATTGGTTGCCTCCTGCATGATCCTCGCCTGGGAGGAGCCTGTAGTTTTTAAAATATATATATTTTATTTAATGATTTCAGAAAGTAAAGGAGAGGGAGAAAGAGATAGAAACATCAATGATGAAAGAAAACCATTGATTGGTTGCCCCCTGCATGCTCCCCAGGGGGATCAAGCCTGAAAACCAGGCATAAGCCCTGACCAAGAATCAAACCATGATGTCCTAGTTTTGTGGTCGGCAACATTCGACATCGCGAGCCACATTAGGCTCTTTGGCCCCTTGAGTATGACTCTTCCACAAAATACCACAATCT